TGCTTCCCAGCCTGACAGAGGCCAGGCGCTGTGGGCAGCTTCGGGCAGGAAGTCCAGGCCCGGCTAGGCAGGCACAGACGCGCCCTGGTCCCATCTCTGTAGGACAGACGGGTGACACCCGGCTGTCGCTCTGGCAGCACCGCAGCCTCCGTGTCAGCTGCCCTATTTTCCAGGTTTCTGACAGGTATTCATTCCCTCGCCAAGAAAAGAGAAGAAAAAGCAAGTGGGGAAGGGAAGGGAAGGCAGGCGGAACAGCAGGAAGCCCTGGGGCGGAGGAAGCGGTGCCTTCCGGTCCCCTAGCAGGGCCGGTGCCCTGCCGCTGCCCGTCGGGGGAGAACCTGGACCAAGGGTCATAAAACCTCCGTGCTCACCCAGGTAGGGAAGTGGCTGCCTCGGACTTAAGCTGGGCGCAAACCACACGGGAGCCGACTGGGCAGCACCACAATGCGGAGCACCCCCTTCCACCCACGGCCCAGGAGAGGGGCCCCCAGACGCGGCAGGGCCGCTTAGGTGCTGCCAACAGCTCAGGGAGGCGCTGGGCAGCATAAGGTCCTGGTCCCCACCCCAGCCCACAAAGCCAGTGAGATCCAGGCCCTGGGCTGCAAACCCCTAACCCCAGCACCAGGGAAGGCTGATGCGGGAGGATGGCAAATCTGGAGTCCTGCCTGGGCAACTTAACAAGACTTGTCTCAAGGTAAAAAGGCCAGGGTGCGGCTCGGCAGTGGAGCACCCCAGGGTTCAATATCTAGTCCACCAGCAGCCCTGGGAGGCTGAGGCAGAAGGATGCCTGCGAGTCTGAGGTCGGCCTGGGCTGCAAAGAACAAGGCTGTGACACTTGCAAGGCGCAAAGGGACCTCAAAGATGCCATGTGTAGTCAAAGATGCCAGACACAGAGGACCCACATAGACAGGAAACGCCCAGGACAGGTGACTCCAGAGTCAGAAAGTGGACTTATGGGTCCCGGGGTTGGGGAGGGGACAATGAGTACTTGAAGGCACGGGCTCCTTTCGGGGTGACGTATGAGACAAGGTAGTTGCACAATTCTGCCAATGGAGTAAATGCCACTGAACTGTGCGATCTCAAAGAGCAGCTTCAGCCAGGTGAGACGGGGCATGGGAGGCTGAGGCAGGAGAGTCACCTTGAGATTGAGGCCAGCCTGGGGTACACAGTGGGTTCAAAGGCCTGTCTGGAATATATTGCCAGGCCCTATCTCAAAAACAAAACAAGGCTGGGGATGGCGCATGCCTGTAATGCCAGGACTCAGGAGGGTGAGGCAGGAGGATCCTTGCGAGCTGCAGGCAGCCTAGGTTACAAAGTGAGTTTAAGATCAGCCTAAACTGCATAGTGAGACCCTGTTTCAAACAAAAGACAACAAAACAAAACAAAGATGAACTACACAGCACATGAGCCAAATGTCAACGAAGGCATCAGAGTATAAAGACACAGTCCGGCTCAGGGCACTGGGAGCCCAGGAACCTCTGGCAGCCTGGGGGGCCAGGACTCGGCCTGCGCCCCTAGGGCCCAGCGCAGGTTCCCAAGCCCAGCATGAGTGGCCCCACCCTGTCTGCCTCCCCAACTTGCAAAAGGGGTCCGGTCCTAGGCTCCTTCCTCATGGAGCGGCAACCACACAGGCGGAGCAGAGTCCACCCAGAAGTCCATGGTGCCCTCGAAGGAACCCTGGCAGTGCCACCTCTGGCACTAGCCAGCCTGCGCCTCCCAGTGGCAGTGCCTGGACCTTCTTTCGTGCCTGAGACAGAGAGCCAACTGCATCCAAAGCTCTGACTCCAGACTGAAGAGAATCCTAATTATTCACTGCCCAGATCCAAGGACCCGCCAGCCACCCCGAGGGCAGGGCAACACCAGGCCTCCTGCACCCCAACCCTTCCACCCTGCAGCTCCAGCTGCCCCTCGGGAACCAGTAGCACCGCCCAGGCCCAGGCTGCAGCATCGGTGACAGATGGAGGAGGGTCCAGCACAGGGTGAGGTGCTCCTGCTGCCCCTCCCCACATGAGGCTCTGCAGAACAGCTGACCACAGGGCCTGGCACCCCCTCCCGGGGAGCCTGGCACACCACCACCAGGAAGGACATGGGCAAAAAACATGACCTGCAGACTACTGGACAGGCTCAAGGGACGTGGATGGAGTTGGGAGCACACAGAGCGACACTGTCATCCCTGCAGACCCCAGCTCAGGGAGTGTGGCATACACTCATCACCTCACAGGCTGAGGCACAAGGGTCACAGCATGTTCAAGGCCTGCACGGGTAACTTAGAGATCTATCAGTGAGACCCTGTCTCAAAAAAATAAACAGGGCCGCGGTTTAGCTCAGCAGCGCAGCAGCCTGCCTGGCAAACGCACGGTCCTGAGTTCGACTCCTGGTACCAAAACCAGAAAATATACATAGGAGCTCAGTCCCTAGTTTTTCTGGGGGTGTGCCCTCCCTTGATTGACAAGATGCCTCGCAACCTTTTTTTCCTTTGGTTTAACTCTTTGGTGTCTCTGGGACTCTACTGTCTGCCTTTCTGCGGCATCGGACAGGCCCAGTTCCCTGAGGCGGGAGGAAGGCCGGCAGCCCGCTGCCTTGGCCAATGTCCACAAAGCCACACTTGTCACACTCGCACTTGAGGGAAAAAGCTTCCACACAGCCGGAGGCCGGGCCCGCACCCTGTGAGAGACACTGCCGAGGAGTTTATCAAGCACCACACAAACAAAGGGGCCTTATGCCCTGCAGCCAGCTGGCAGCTGGGCCAGCTGGGGAGCCTGATGCCCCTTCTCCTTGTGAGAGGCCAGCATGTGGCAGCCTCACCCGGGTCTCCTCTGGCCTCCTACGCTGTCTGGCCCTGGTGGGACGGGTCACCCACTGTGAAGGTGGAGTTGCAGGAAAGGGCCTCTGGGGCTTCCACCTCACAGTGGCACAGCCGTCTCCCCAAATGCCAGCCAGACCTCCTCAATCCGTGCTCCAGGGCCAGGCTGGGGCCAACAGCCATAGGGACTCTCAGCACCCAGAGAGGGCACCTGGGTCACGAGCTGTGGAGAGAGCTCGGGACCCCGGAACAAAGTGCAGTCCAGTTTCCCTGCCCTCAGTTTCCCCACTGTTCCTGACAGTGTGACCTGGGGTCCTTGCACAGCTCCACCAGCCTGTACCACCTTCATCGAGCTGCTGGCACAAGCTCTTGGAACCCTACTGCCTGTCCTGGAAGCTGGGGGCGGGATGGCTGCTGCTCCCGAGGGCCTGCTTGGAAGGCACTCAGCTTGTGCGTGTGTGCCACCTCCTGTGACCATCTCTATCACTACACACTGCGAGAACAATGTGAACACGACCAGGGGTCCCAATTGGCCACCTGTTACTCTGCAGTCAGAGCACGGGGGCCTTGGGGTGCCAGGGGACCCCATACCAGGGACCAAGGCGAACTCCTTCCAGGTGGAGAGAGAGGCGTGGGGGGACAGGACTGAGACCCTGCAGCTGATGTCAGGGAGTGAGGGGGACACCCAAGAGTAAAAGGAGGAGTGTGCTATGTGGAGCATGGGGGACACAGTGGCGAGCTCTGCCTTAGCTGCCACCTGTGCACAGAGCCCCCCAACTCTCAGCGGCCAGCTGGGGGAGATCACAGACTGGCAGCTGGGACAGAGGTGCCCTCGCACACCTGTGGTTTAAAGCAAAGTGAGGGGAAGCCACACTCAGGCAGGCTCGGGCCTGGGCTCGAGGAGGCGGCCCCTGGGCCTGGCCCCAGCTCTCACAGCACCAGGGGGCGCAGCCACCTACTTCACTCCAGACCCAGCCCTCTGACTCTGGGAGCTTTAGCTCTGGCGCCTGTCTCCCGGCTTCAGGCTTCAGGCTGGCGAGATGTCACGGGCCCAGTCACAGCTCCCAGGCTAGGCGAGCCGGGTAAAGGAATCGGAGCCCAGTGGGCCCCAGGGACCAGGATCGCCGTCCAAGGTCACCGTCTCCCTCACAGGGTGTCCCCTCCAGCCACGCAGCCCGGTCCAGCAGATAAGGGCCCTTCTGGGAACCAGGGTGGGAGGGTGAAGTTTCAAAAGTCAGGACCGGAGAAGAGCGGGTGATAAGGGGCACCAGCTGGGGGAGGAGGGGTATTGGAGTGGGGTGCCTGGGGCAGCGGTGCCCAGAGAAACCTGGGAAAATGCCAGGCCACTCAGAGCCAGCATGGCAAGCCCAGGCAGGGCCACCCAAGCCAAAGCAGGGATATCCCAGCCTCCCATGCTAGGCGGGGGACAAGGGGCCAGTTTTCCTCCCAGCAGCCCATAAGCCGGAACAAACGATTATTTTTGGCAACTACAAGGTTCCCCCTGGACAGCATAAACAAACCCCACCTCTTCAGCCTGCAACAGCCACACTGCTTCGCGCACAGACTCCACGGGCTGCGGTGGAGAGCTAGGGGACAAGGATGGGGCGCCCCAGTCCAGGAGGCACAGGGGTAGGGGGGTGCGACTTAGGGCAAGTCCTCCTGTTGGGGGACACACAGCAGCCGGCAGCTCAATCTTTAGGGAGAAGAGTTGGGAAAGAAGAGGTGGCAGGTGGAAGGGAGACAGGGAAGGAGGAAGGAAGGAAGGAAAGGGAGCTTGGGAAGGAGAGATCGAGGGACCGAGACACCTCGGAGAAAGGCAGCTCGGAAAGGAAGAAGTGGAAAAGACGGAAACGGAGGCAGAGAAAGCGGAAGGAAAGAAAGAAGAAAGCGGGGGTGGGGGAGAAAGAGGAAGAGGAGGAAGGCAGCACAGGCACAGCGGGCAGGAGAAGACAGAGGGGGGCAAACTCAGAGCGAAGGAAGGGCGAAGTGGGGAAGGAGGAAGGCCGGGAACAGGAAGGGAGAAAGGGAAAGGCAAGGAGGAAAGAAAAGTAACGGGGAGAGAAGGAGGGAAGGAGGGAAGGAAGGAAGGAAGGAAGGAAGCGAGCGAGGCGGATCTGAGAAAAGCAAGAAGAAAGAGGAGGAAGAGGGAGGCAGGCAGGGAGCAGGGGTCGCCGGCGCGACCGCCAGCCGCACTCACTTCTTCACGTTGGCCTCGCCGTTGGGGATGCGCCGGAGCTTCTTCTTCTTGAGGATCTTCACGGCCCTGCGGCACAGCGTCTCGGAGTCCAGCACCTCCTTCACCTTGCCGTAGGAGCCCTCGCCCAGCAGGTCGCCCATCAGGTACTTCCCGATCAGCTTGGCGCGCTTGCGGCGCGGCTGGTAGATGACCTCGGTGGAGTCGATGCGGTGGATGAAGGTATCCATGCCCACGGCGATCAGCTCGCCCTCAGGGAACAGGCCCGGCGGCTGCGGGTCGGCCACGTCCATCCTGGGCCCGGCGCCGGGGAGCCCTCCTCGCCCCCCGCCCCGTGTCCCCTCGGTCCCCGTGACGGACGACGGCGGCCTCCGGCCTTGGCTTTCCTTCTCCAAACGTTTAACAAGAAGAAAAAAAAAAAAAGTAACGGACGGACCCCACCCCCCACCCCCCGCCAAGTCCACGGAAAGTCTTCCTGCGACGGTCGCGGCTGTCCCCGGGCACGGCAGCGGCGCTAGGTCATCGTCCAGGCGCTCGGCCGAGGCGGCGACCGCGCTGGGGCCCGTCCGTGCCGTCCATGCCCGGCCCCGCGCTCCCCGCCGCCGCGAGCCCGGGGCCACCGGCCGCCGGCCGCCACCGGGTAGCCGGGCGATGCAGGCCGCAGGCTCCGGAACAGGAGGCTCCCCAAGGCTGACGGAACCCGGGCGTCGCGTCCCCCTCGCCGCGGCCGCCGCGCAAGAGCAGGAGGCGCGGCGGCGAGGGGGGGACCCAGCCCATGCAAGGCCGCCCGCGGGGGCCGCCGGCGCCGCCCTCCCGGCCCCGCGCCTCACTCCTGGGCGCCCCGGGTCGCCTCCCCCTTCCGCGCCCGACACGCCGCCGCCATCTTGTTTACCGCCCTACGCCGCGCCGCCGCCGCACGCCCCGTCGCGGGACACGCCCCCACGCGGCGCGGATGTGCGCGGCCATTGGCTAAAATAGATGGCACCGCTCCTTTGGCTCGCCCCCGCCACCGCTGATGATTGGACCGTTTGGATCCGGGTGGCCGCCCGAGCGGAGATTGGTCCAGCCTGGGTTCCGCCCAAGAGGCGGAGACGGAACCCCTATTGGCCCATGGAGATGCCCGTCACGGACAAGGGGGACGGGAAGCGGGCGCGGGGAGGGCGAGGCAGCTATGGTGACCTCCGTTGGGTTTGGGACTGAGGTCGGAGGTCAGAGTTGCCATCGGCCTACGTGGAATGGATGCGGGGCAGTGGGCAGTTTCCAAGTCACGGAGGGCTTGAGGACAAGGGGGACACCAACCAGATCCCTTCGTTGTAGCCCTCTTTGGGCGGGGTCAAAGGTCAAAAAGTAACCCGAAGTGGCCAATTCCGTGCAAGAGGACTTTTATCAAGCGCCAGCAGGGCGGGTGGGGAGGAGGCGCGCGCGGAACAAGCTCTGCCCCGGAGGAGCTTGAGAGGAGAACTCAGAACGCAGCTGGCATCGTGACAACAAAGCGCTTTCGGTGGAAAACAAGAACTGCCAAAATATGGCTCGATAAGGAGGTTGATAAGGCCCCTCACCGTGGTTTTTCCCTCACCCTTTTTTTTTTTTTTTTTATCTTTTTTTAAGTCCTGAGACAAGTTGCCCAGGTTCCTGTCTCGGAGGCTCTGAGGGCCGTCAGTCCCTCTGCCTCCGTCTTCTCATCTGTAAAATGAGTCCAGAAAACAGATTTTTTTTGGGGGGGGGAGCTTGGAGGTTCTTGTATATAGGGGTTCATTTGTTTTGTGCTGGGAACTGAACCCCGACCTTCACGCTTGAACACACTGCACGGGTTTCACCATGGAGCTCCATCCTCAGCCTCTTTGGATGGCGGTTTTTTTTTGGGGGGGGGTACTGGAATTTAACTCAGAGCTTTCTACAGGCTAATCAAATGTTCTACCGATGAGCTACAGCCCCAGAACTTCTCATTTTGAGCCACGGTCCCGTTAAATTGCCCATGCTGGTACTGAATTTGTGAACCCCTCCTGTGTCAGCCTTCTCAGTAGCTGGAGTTACAGGCATGTGCCCTTAAGCCTAATGGTTTTGGGGGTTTGTGAGGGGAAACCACCTCAAGCAACTTTTCTCACTACTGCCTGGAATCTGGCTCCCTCAGATTAATCAATTTGGCATAAATTCATGCTTTTGCAGAATGGAGAATGGAACTGAGGATGTTTGCACTGAGCATCCCTGGCCAAATTTTTATTTTTATTTTGAGACAGAGTCTCCAAGTGACTAAGTAGCCCAGGCTGAACTCAAATTTGTAGCTCTGTCTTAGTTTCCCCAAATACTGGGATGACAGGCTTGTGTCACAGGCCCAGCTGACATGAGCTATAATGTGTTCAATAAACACTTGTCGAGCCAGGCGTGGCGGCGCGAACCTGTCATCCCAGCACTTGGGAGGCTGAGGCAGGTGGATTGCAATTTCCAGGCTAGCCTGAGCTAAATAGAGACGCCATCTCCAAAAAAAAAAAAAAAAAAAAAAAAAAAACCAACCAAAACATAGATCCGAGATGCGGGCAGGCTGCGTGGGCACTTATGCGGCCACTAGGGGGCGCACGCGGACCACAGCAAAGGCACACGGGCGCACGATGACCTTACACGCTGACCTTCCTAGGGAGACCCTTGCGATTGGCACAAGTTGCTGGACTTTTTCATACTGATACAGATGGCGTAGCAAGCCCAGAGCACACACATGCATGTCACCATCTGTCACCCCTGCACACGGGGGGGGCGCACGGGGTCGGGTTCCTCTGTGACATTCTTTCCTGGGCATTCGCTGTAAGGTGCTGAGCACCTTTGCTGGCCTCCACCTACTCCATCCCAGGAGAACCCCAGTCATGACAATCACATACGTCCCCAAAAGTCACCAAGAGACCCCTGAGGACAGAGTTGCCCCTCAGATGGGAGACCCTTGGTGAGAAGTTTACATTGCAGATTTTGTTTTGCTTTTGAAACAGAGTCTTAATGTAGTTCAGGCTGGCCTCGAACTTGTGTTCTTTCTGCCTCAGCCTCCCAATTGCTAGGATGACAGGTATGTGCCACCACGCCCGGCTGCGTGTCACTTTATATGCATTCTTTTCTTCACTCTTCAAGATCAGTCCAAAACAGATCAAAGTTTTGTTTTCATAACTCCCATTTCTCTCAACCCCTGGCACCCACAAATTCACTTCCTGTTTCTAGGTTCCTCCTCTGTCCTAGGCATTTCCTGTGTATGGAGCCCGCACTGCATGCCTTTCTGTCTGGCATCCATCACTGGGCGCCATATCCTCAAGGTCCGTCCATGCTGTGGGGAACACAGCTCCTCTTTTTCCTGGTCAAGTAATAGTCCAGTGTTGGGACAGACCTCACTGCATGATCCCCTGCCCTCCTATGGACAGCTGACTCCAACCTCTGGCTGCTGTGAATGTGTATGCAGTGTGTGTGTATGTGTGTGTGTGTGTGTGTGTGTGTGTGTGTACATTTTTGGTATGGATGTACATTTTCATGTCTCTGGGGTAGACGCCAAAAAGTAGAATTCTTGGGTCCTGGGAGCAGCTACTAGACTGAATTTTGTTTTGTTTTGTTTTGTTTTGCGGTTCTGGGGCTTGAACTCAGGCCTTCCCACTGAGTTACATCCCCAGCCATTTACAAAAAATTATTTTTTGACACAGGTACTAAGTTGCCCAGGCTGGGGTTGAACATCCAATCCTCCTGCCTCAGCCTCCCAGAGCACTGGGATTACAGCTATGGGTCACTGTGGCCAGCTCTGCAGGCTGTTTTCTTCATTGGCTGCACTCTGGGTATCTTGTCACCTTCTGAATTCTGAAACAAGGGTGTATGTGACCTCTCGAAAACTTAAATTAGCACAGAGAGAGTGACACACTTTTGGCCAGGGATGTAGCTCAGCGACACAGCATCTGCCTTGCAAGTGCAAGGTCCTGAGTTCGATTCCAGGTTCCAAAAAAAATAGAGTGGCAAATTCTAGACTGTGGAGCTGGGCATGGTGAGGCATACCTGTGATCCCAGCATGCAGGAAGCACAGGCCGGAGAATCACCCGGAGTTCAAGACCAGCCTGGGCTACATAGTGATATCCTATCTCAAAAAACAAATAACAAAAAAAAAATCTAGACTGTGGGAAACATATCAGGAAAAGCAACTGATTTTCATGAAAACCAAACCACAGGGGGAAAAAAATGAGAAATAATGGGGTAGGAGGCAGCGAGGTGACAGATGAAGATAACACATCCAACTCTCACAGGATGTGACCCTGACCTGAACCCTCAGCCCAGCAAGCAAACCACACACGGTGTAGGTGACAGCCGGAAGACACAGGCTGCCCACGCAGCCCATGTGGTATTTAGGAACTGTCCCTAAACTGTTCAGGTGTGACAGCAAACAAAGTGATCAAGTGTAACACAGAGAGGGGGTGAAGCTCAGTGGTGACACCTTGACAGTGTCCTGGGATCCGTCCCTAGCAAATGCATCAAAAAAAACCCATAAAACATGGAAAGAACCCAAATCCCAAATGCCTATCAACAGAGACAGGAAAATGGCTCAACTAAATGGGATTTGGTCATACAGTAGAATATTACTTAGCTATGAAAATGAAACCAAGCCAGATATAGGACACTCACTGCAGGGTCCCACTTCCAGGAGGGCCCAGCGTCATCAGAGCCATAGAGACAGGAAGGAGAATAGTAGTGCCGGGCTGAGGGCGGCAGGGATGGGAGTCTGCATTTCCTGGGGATGGAGTCTCAGCTACGGGAAGCGGAAGGTACTGGAGGTGGCTGGTGAAGACAGCAAATAGCCACAGGATGCTGGGCTTAATGCCACTTATCTAGCATTAAGATGCCACAGTGGCCACATGCATGAAATTCAGTATCTACTAGAAAGGCTGGGTTTGAACTTGTAACCCTCCTGCCCCAGTTTCTCAGAGTGCTGGGATTGCAAATGTCCACCTCCATATTCTGCTTGTATGATTTTTCTTTTGTCTTTTTGAGACAGGGTCTCGCTATGCAGTTCAGGCTGGTCTTGAGCTCACTGTGTAGCCCAGGCTGGTGTCAAACACAAGATCCTCCTGCCTCAGGCACCTGAGTGCTGCAATGACATGTGTGCACTATCATCATGCCCAGCTTATGATTTTTAAAAAGAAACTTTTGCTTTTCCTGCTTGTTCTCACTTTCTTCCTTCCTTCTTCTTTCTATATTTTTGTATTTATTTTTCCAGTGCTGGCAAGGGAATCCAGCGCCTGTGCATACCAGACAAGCACTTCCCATTGAGCTACACCCCCACACTTACATCTATAAGGTTTGTGCCCAATGAGCTGCTTACACACAATCATGTGATCCCAGCCTGGCCAATCAGGATGTTTCATTACTAAGCCACAGCGATTGGTTCAATAAGTGCATATGAACCTGGGTTGGACCAATAAGAACCATGGCTGGGACTCTTGCTCTTTTAGAGCTAATTAGCTAAAGGGGGTTGGAAATTTGGGGGCTGGAACATCATCTTTATCTCCATAAAGGGGAAACCATGGGAGAAAAACACCAAGGGAGGACGGCAGAGCTGGAGGACGAAGAGTTGAGCAAATCCTCGGGACTTTGAGGGTCCTGGATGCAACCAGCCCTGAAACCGGCTAAATCAGTGGGACTCCCTGCAAAGTAATTCTTAGCTGCAGGGGGGAGTTGGACATGTCACAAGCTACCTGTTGGTTATCATGAGTGGGCGGAGGGAGCTACAGACCTTGAGGACATAGAAACCCAGGCACAGTAGCACAGATGTGCAATCCAACCACTGGGGAGGCTGAGGCAGGAGGGTCACTGTGAGTTTGAAGCCAGGCGGACCACATAGCGAGAACTCGTCTCAGAAAAACAAAACAAAAGTGGGGGGCA